GGGTCGCGAAAGGAAGTTCGCAGCGGGTGTGGCACTTGGAGCTGCTGGGTGCGCGTTTCGTGCGGCGCCAAACCATGTTCGCAGCGAGTGCCGCGGATGAGGTGTTGGAGTGTGCTATTCGCGGCACGCGAACTCTGGTTCGCTGCGAGTGCGCCCTGCTACCTTGTGTGTGCATTTTTGCTGGTCGCGAGCTTGTTTCCGCAGCGAGTGTCGGGCTGCCTCACGAGTAAATGAAAAATTTACTATTCTCAATTTTGTCACCGCTCAACTTACGATTGTTCATCAGTCGACCGCCCGAACATGAAAATCGAAATAATCGAGTTGGACTTTTGAAAAAATTGAACTCATCTAACTTTTGCCCCAAAACAAACTAAAACTGAATAGAAATGATCGGTTATTTCGATTGGATTACCGAAATAACCAAAACAATCGAAATAAATTATGATTTATGTTTTTAAAAAATTATTTATTTAATATTTAATATTATGTCAGTTGGAAAAAAACATGATATGCATAATTTTTAAAAGTAAAAACAGATAATCGAACCAATTATAAAATTCAGACTCAAAAACTTAGTTCGATAGATTTTGGTCGCTAGAGTGCAATATAATAGTCATTGACGTGCATTTCGTCTAACACAATTGTTCAATTGTTGTTCATGCACTTTTTAGGATTTATCCCAAACCAAACTAAATCTGAACCAAAATGTTGGTTTATTTGATTAGTTAACCGAATTACCATAAATAATCGAAAAAATTTATAAATTATATTATGAAAATATATTTAGTAGTTTAATTAGTATTATTTTTATATGTTTTTTAGTTGTAAAGACCTAAAATATATAAATAACAAAATAGAATTATTTTATATAATTCGATTGGTTCGATTTTTTTTTTTTTAAATAAAGGTGATATCAAATCAAAAAAACCAAAATTTTAGAAATAAAAATAGATAATCAAACTAGGATATAAACTCGAACTCAAAGTCTTAGTTCGTCGATTTCGGTCGCTATATTGCAATCCGACAATTACTAATGTGCAATCAATTCATCACTAATGTGCAATCGAGGTGCTTTGTGAAATATATGAATGATGCTACTGTGCATTCAGTATTGTGCATTCAATATAACAATATTGTGCAATATGATAGTCACTAAGGTGCATTTTGTTTAACAATACTGTGCATATGTAATGTAAGTTCTTAACAGTGTAGTATTACTATACCGTATAGTCTTATGTACCATATATGTTTAACAATTTTTATTTCATATTTTTATTTATTATTTTAATATGAGCTCTTGAACTACTTCTGACTTCACTTCGCTTCTAAAGTTGGCTCCTTTTTCACTTTATCGCGGTAGGCAAGCCGAGAAGCTTTTTCCGAAAATCATGGAGTTTAACAATACTGTGCATATGTAATGTAAGTTCTTAACAGTGTAGTATTACTATACCGTATAGTCTTATGTACCATATATGTTTAACAATTTTTATTTCATATTTTTATTTATTATTTTAATATGTGTGTATAAAAATATATAAAGAATAATAGTCCTTACAAAATTTTTCTTAATTACATATTTAATCTAGGGGCTAAATTGATATTTCATAAAAATACACCAAACAACCAACACACATATCCAGGTACAAGTTTTCTATAATACAGATTATGCCCAAGGAAGTCAATTGCAATTTAATTATTATTTTTGAATTTGCAATCAAGTCCCTGTAAATATCAAATTGTCAAAGATGTAAAATCCAGCAACTCTGTCTCGTCAATTGTGGCAGAGTGAAGGGGCGGAGGTGGCGGTCGTACCTTTGAACGGATGGAGATGGGCGGAGGGGCTTCTGAACCTTTGAACGGTGGAGGTGCGGATGAATCTTTGAAAGGGCGAAGGTGTGGATGGGAGAAGGAGGTTGAAATTTTGAGCGGCCAAAGGTGGGCGGATGGCGGAGCTGGGGAGGTTCGATCTGAATTTCGAAAGTGCGGAGCTGAGGAAGGTTGGCTAGTCACCGATTAGCTTCCCCATCACATTGGCTTCTAAGTGGTTGAAATTTACGAACCTTTGAACGGTGGAGGTTGAAATTTCTCGGTGGTTGGTTTATCGCCGATAGGCTTCCCCATCACATTGGTGGACTCCGGCGGCATCGGGCGGCGGTCCTCCTTCGATCAGGGTCGCCGGCAATCTCGGGCCCCGATCGGGCTGAGTAAGTATATATGGTGCCGGTGAAGAGGTCGGCGGCAGTGCTCCGCCGTGTCTGAATGTGTGTCGTGCGTGCGTCTCCATTGTGTGTGTGTGTGAGAGAGAGAGAAAGAGGGGTGGGTGGGTGATTGGTGTTGACAGGCTTTTTTGTTTTGGTACAATGTGTTGATAGGCTTTGACCGTGCGCGTGTGACGGGTGGGACGTTATTGATGAGGGGTAGGCATGATATTACCCCACTACCCTTAATGAATGTAAAAAATTGGTCTTTTTTTAAGTCATTAGATCATATGATATAATGCCTAAAATTTTTTCTTATTTCTTTCACTGAGCACCATTCTCATCGGAGCGCGACCCAGCCACTAGATCGGATGATCTAAGGACTAAAAACAAATCAAAATTATACCTTCATTAAGGTTAATTTGGTAATTTTCTGCACATCACCCAAAAATGTGGGCCCACTACACATTAATCCACAAGCCAACTACCCAATCAATTAATCACTCGGTCAACACACCCCACCCATCTCTCACCACCCCATCTCACTATCTCTCTCACACATACACACATGCAGACACACACAACACACAATACACACTCACACACGTAGACCCACACATACACGCACAAATACAGACGGTGACACACAACCGACGGCCACCACCCGGTCACCTCCAACATCGCCCAGCGCCGCCTTGCCATCCCCAGATCCGCTGCTCGCCATAGTTGTCCAGCGTCACACACACGCACACCTTTCAAACACACACATGCACACGACGCACACACACATTGCTCGACCAGACTCACCACCGGCCACCGCACATCGCTGTCATAGCCATCGACCCGTCAATGCCGCCTCTCAATTCCGACGTCGCCGATGCCCGAGAACACGAAAATCATCGCCCCCGTTTCTTCTCGTTCGTCGGAACTGGATCTCAAATCTGACCTCGAGCAGGTCGTCTTCTCTGGCAACACCAGCCGGAGAAGGCCGTCTGCGTCGGCAAGTCCCCTACAGGACGGAGAAGGCGACGCCGGCCGTCACCGGACGGAGAAGGCTGACGGCGGGGGTGAAGGGGAGAGAACAGACATGAGGGGGAGGGGATGGGGCAATTTTATGAGAATTACATAATGTGTAAGGACTTTATTGAAATTTTATGAATTTTGAATATATTTCAATTTAGTACCTGGGTAAATCTGTAATTTACAAGAATATTATAAATAGATATTAATTTTATAATTTTGTATCATATATATTAAAATAATGTATAAAAACATTAAATAAAATAACTTAAAATGTTAAAGTAATATAAAAAATATATAAAATACAAAATAATGTTTTTGAATTAATAACTAAATTTTTATAATATAAATAATAAACTATGTCAATTATTTTAGTATAAAAATGGAAAACTAAAATATATAATAATGTCGAATGCACATTGCAGTTAGTTGGATTGCACAATAATGCTAGACGAATTGCACATTATTGGCTGCTCGATTGCACTGTATAGATTTTGAATAACAAATATTAAACAAAATAAATATACTTTTTTTTTTATAGTTTTAAGATGGAATCTTACAAGATGTAACCCAACCTGTATTAAATAACCAATATTTATTATGTATTATAAGCCTAGAATAGTATAAAATTATTATATAAAATATTAATATCCTACATATATTTTTAAAATATAAATGTGTATTAAATTTAAATTATTCTCATAAATTCCTGCTAATGATAAATAAAGTGAAATAGTTTTTAAGAAATTGAATATGTAAAATTATAATATATAGAAATATTAAAATAATAAATATAATTTTATAATAATAATAATAATTTATTTATATTATTTAAGTTATTTTAATGTACAATTATATCTACTAATTCTAGATTTCAAAAACACGTAATTTGTACGTGATCATATAAATTCGTGCACTTTATATATCATCAACTTGCACTTTATAAAACTACACGTTGCACTTTATAAAACAACACGTTGCACTTTATCATTACACTCTACAATTAAAGTGAAATATGTCCCGCCAAAATACCATACAATATAAATCTAAAAAACGGATATACATAATACTTTAACATCCGTCAAATTATTTATCCACACAAAATACGAGTATGTCAACGTACCCAAATTACAGTAGTTCACCTTACACACCAGTTTGCACTTTATAAAACAACGCGTTGCACTTTACAAAACAACACGTTGCACTTTAAAAGTCGAACGAACTCAAAATTTTGTCAACCTAAAAATAATATAAAAATATTAAATAAAAATATTGATATATTAATTATAATTTTGATATAAATAAAAAAATTATTTCGATTAATTCGGTTAATCGAACCGAATAACCCAATTGATTATGTTCATTTTCAATTTGATGTTGGGACAAATGACCGTATGGTTCAATATGCACAACACAGACCAACACCGTGCACCATATTGTTGGACGAATTGCACCGTAGTAACCATTATATTGCACACTATTTCGTCTACATATATACTAAGTTTTTTTAATCAAAGCATAATATAAAATATCAATTAAAAAATATAAAATACTAATACTAAAATTTATGAAATTTTAGATTGAATAACCATACAAATATTGTTAACAATATTTATCAACATTCTATATCTAATAGATTTTGAGTAAATTATATGATTAATCAGCAATTATATTGACTCATAATTAAAAGTTCTTTTAAGATTGCAAATTGAACCCTCTAGTTTATCTAGTTTACAAAAAAATCCCCCGAAATCAATTTAAAAACTACAGCAATGAACAGCCATGGAGGGTTTTTTTCCCGGCCGTCCATCTCTTTCAGCACATCGCCGGAACACCGCAGTCGCCGGACTGCCATCGCCGTCGCGTCGCGTCGCCGCAGTCAGCCGCATCATAGCATCCTCACTGTCAGCTGACGCAAACCCCTTCGTCTTCTTCCGCCACCGCACAGCCTCCGTCCTCCTGCTCGCCGCCTCGTTTGTCAGCCGGCTTGACGCCTCATCTCCGTCCGCAAGCACGTATCTTCGTCTGAGTCACACCGCCGCCTTCCACCGCCGCGTAGCTTCGGTTCCGTCAGCCGCTACCTTTGGTCGGTGGTCGCGGGCTCCGGCTGGCCGTCGAATCAAAGGCAATTAACGTCGGAAGAGAGATTTTTGGAGAGAACCGCCAACTGATCGGCTGATTTGGCCGTCGCCGGGTCGGTGGCCACATATTTTGTGTTGGTCAATGCCGGATTTGGCCGCCTCAAGCTGCGCCCGGTGGCTGTCGACATCAACTGGCTGAAGACGGCAATGACGCGGGCTGAAGGAAGGTGGTGGCCGGTGACACCGCCGGCGGGAGGAAGGTGGTCACCGACGATGTTGCGACTGTGTGTGTGAGTGTCCCGTGAGTGCGGGTGACAGAGAGAAGTGAGTCTTGTTCAAAGTGTGTGTTTGTGTGTGTAAGAGAGAGAGTTGAGTTGTATTATGATTTGTGGGGCCCACATGAATAAAGGGTGAATGTGTAATGACTAGAATGTCCTTACTAAGTGGTTAAATTTAGACATTTGACCACAATATGTCTACTTATTTACGGAGTTGCCATTAACTGATTTATCAATATTTAATAGATGTGACTCAATCATGACCATTCATATGTTGGATCCATTGATTCAGAATCATTCTTATTTATTTCACTATCTACCATTCTCATGTGATCCTAACTCTCTCTCTCTCTCTCTCTCTCTCTCTCTCTCTATCTATCTATATATATATATATATATATATATATATATATTCATTCTAAAATTAAATTTATATTAGTATAACGTGTTAGCGGAATAATATATTAATTAACATGTTAACGTTCTTGTTGAATTAAACATCACTGGTTAAAAGAAGTGGAAAATGAATGATCCAACACTATTGTTTTTGTATGCCTAAACGTACAAGCATTATGAAAATTACTCATTTAATATATGTGTCCCGTGCATCGCACGGGTTATGCACTACAAGTTATGCACTAGTACTATAGTACTAATAGGAAAGGAATTACCCGACACCATCTAATCTAACACATAATCATGAGAGCATAATAATTTATTTATATTTTTAACCACTAATCAGTATATATGGCATCATTCACGACTTGGGAAGAACCACATAGGCGGTGGAAAGTCTTTCTCAGATTCTTAGCATCACATGGATAATAGCATGGCAACACAGTCTTGTTCTCATAATTGAAAATGCCAATGTCATGGCCACCAATTGGGTAATACTCAATCTTGCAATCTTCTTGTGCATCCGTGAAGTAAATGGAATTGGGGTTGAGCTCCGGGAACTCGGCTGCTGGCAATGCGACCGCATCGCTGTGGAAGCCGACAAAAAGAGCCCAACCACCCAAAGACGAACCCTCCACGTACTTAACATCCATATCCTCAGGGTCATATTTACGAACATCAAAATCAATAGTCACACCTAGAAGTCCTCGTAGGTAGGTCCAGTCATCTGTGTCTCTGTTGTCAACATAAAATCCATCAGATTCAAATGAGTGAACCACGTACTGAGTCACCACGAGGAGATCCTGCCCGGCCACTACCAGATACTCCTAGTCCTCTGTCCTCGGGTACCCGAGACGACGTGCTCTCTTGCGACTAAGACTGACCTCGCCTATCTTCACGGCCCTCGGTGACTGAGGGTCCCGAAGATCCCAAGAATCCAACACCCCGTGTTGCGTGAGGCTAAACAATGCTTTGTGTCTTGGGGAGTAGACACAATCCATGTAGCTGCCATCAGAGTGGGCCCTGCCCAAATCTTCATCGAACCAGTGGTGATCTCCGATGCGGGTCCACTCCTTGCTGAGCCCAGGGCAGCAGAAAGCCAGCCCACGCATGTTATTATAAATCATCACGGCCCGGCAATTCGGCCCAGGGGAGCACGTGAGGATGACTTTGTCTGCCCAGGGCAAGTTAGGGGGGTAATTGGGGGCAGCAGAAAGCCAGCCCACGCATGTTATTATAAATCATCACGGTCCGCAAGGGAAGGGAGGGGTATATGGCGACGGGAGACGGGATTATATAGAGACAAATCGCGGCTTCGGGGGCACATCAAAGCTAGCCAGCCGTGTGAAGATCCCCTAAGCCACATGGTTAATCCTTCTCTTTCTTTGTTGCTTTTTCCGGTACTTAGGGTTATAATTTTGTTGTCAGCAAGGCGGTACAACTTGTAGCTCATGCTTGCGGCGCCGCTAACGTCGACGTCAAAGGCAGGCTGTAGCATAAGACAAGGAGATGACGAGGACGATGATGGGTTATGTATCGATACAGTCGGAGATAATATAGGCTCGGCCAACGTACTTATGCTTTTGGGATAAAATGACGAGTTAAACCTATTCCTACCAATTTCGGCGGAAGAACAAGATCCAGCCGTCAATTTTCCTGCAATCGGATAATTTGAAAATCCGGCACACCATTTCCGATCAATTGGACGGCTGAGGGACAAGGATGGGCTGAGCGACAAGGATGAAGCCATCGATAGATAAACTTCGAAGGTCAAAAGAGGCAGAGTATAAGAAACTTTCTATCTTCAGCTGCTCTCCTACTCCTTTCTACATTTTTTATTCTTTTAATTAATTTTAGTGACCTACTTCACAAATGGGCTCTAACCCCTGCTTGTGTGGACATCCCACGCCCAATTTCTTTCTACTAAACATTTGGAATATATGACCCATTTTTTGGCATTTATTTGTCCAAAAAGACAAAAAGAAAATTGATACCTTCCTGAAATTATATACTAAATTCAGTGCTATTTGTTAATATATATTTTCTCAAAATCATGTACTAACATACGTAGTACACAAATGAGAATGAATTTGGACCATTGGATACTTCATCTCAATGGTTAACATAAAGTCAAAATTTGATAAATAATGGTCAACCATTAAAAATTTGCAGAGGTTCGGCGGAAACGACGGCTGTGGTTCGGCGGAAGCGACGGCTGCGCGAGGGAGGAAATGACGGGAATTTGCAGAGGTTCAGTGGCGGCTGTGGCTCGGCGGCGACGGAGGCGAGATAGAGGCAGCGTGATGACGGTGGGACAGCGTGACGATGGCGGCGGAAGTGACGAAGGCGACGACTACTATGGATGCTGAAGGTCCGCCGGCAAGTGTGTGTGTGTGTGTGTGTGTGTGTGTGTGTCGCGTGTGTTTCAGTGTGTGCGTGTGAGAGATAGATAGTGTGTGTGAGAGAGAGAGGATGAGGTGTATTAATGTGAAGTTGGCAGGTTTAAAAAACCGTGTATTAATGTGTATTAATATATTAGTGTGTAGGACCCACTTATTTGAATATAGTGTAGAAAAATACCACAATATCCTTAATGAAGGATAATTTTGGTTTTCTTTTATGTTGTTGGATCGTTCAATCATGTAGCTGAAATTTATTCTCATTTCTTTCACTAAGACCCTTTCTCACCGGAGCGCATCCCTATATATATATATATAGATAATTTTTCGAGAGCCTAGCCGGGGCCAGGACCATCTAACGAGTCTAAGCGTGACTAATTTATTTTTTATAATAAATATATTAAATACACAATAATGATGGAAAAAGTGCACAATATTGTATGAGAAATGCACATTAAAAAATTCATTTTATTTTTTATAAAGTTCCCAAATCAAATTGAAAATGAACATAATTAATTGGTTTTAGTCGGTTTGGTTAAACGAATTATAATCCAAATATTTTATTATTTATATTCAAATTATAGTTAATTTAGTAATAATATTATTTATTATTTTTGTATTACCTTTGGTTGAAACAATTTGAGTTCGGTCGATTTCGATATCTATTATGCAATCGAACAGCCGTGATAAAGTGCAACATGTTGTTTTGTAAAGTGCAACGCATTGTTTTATAAAGTGCAACGGATTAATGTATAAAGTGAACTATTGTAATTTTTATATGTTAGCGTGCTTGTGTTTTGTATGGATAAATAATGTGATTAATGTTAAAATATTATTTATACCCGATTTTTAGATTTATGTTGTGCGGTATTTTGGCGGGAGGAGAGGACATTAGTTGTTGAGTGTGGTGATAAAGTGCAATATGTTGTTTTATAAAGTGCAACATATTGTGTTATAAAGTGCAGCATGATGAAATATAAAGTGCACTACTTTATATGATCGCATATAAATTATGTACTTTTGAAAACTAGATTTAGTAGATATAATCGTATATCGAATTAACCTAAATAATTGATTATTTATTATGAAATAAAATATATGTATTATTTTAATATCTTTTATATTATAAAAAATAGTTTGTTATTTATTATTATAAAAATATAATTTATATATACATAACAAAATAAATAATTTATATTAGTTATTTATATAAATGACAAAGAAACTAAAATTTCACTAGTAAAAAAAAATAATCGACTGAAAATATAAAATCTGATCCCAAGACTGTGTATGACTGTTTCGGCCACTATAATGCAATGTGATGGTTGGTAATGTGCAATACTTCTAACATTAATGCGCATTGGAAGTGCAACTATTTTTTATAAAAAGTATATTTATTATTTTAATATTTTTATTTAATATTTTTATTATTTTTAGTTGAAAAATAATATATTTGTTATATATTATAATATGTAATTTAAATTATCAAATAATTTATTATTTATATTATAAAATTATATTCAATAGTTTAATATGTTAATTTCATATTTTATAGTATTTTTTTGTTTAAAAATACATAATATATGTGTATAAAAATATATATAAATAATATTTTTAAACACTTTTATAAAATACATCACCATCATCATTGTGATAACTTTAAGAAAAGAACACAAGTAATCTAAAGCCACTCTGCCATGCTCAAAACAGAGCCGAGTAAAACTGCATCCAACCCTTCAATTTCAAATTTCTCACAAAGAAAAGGTGAGAAACACAAAACACATTGTAATTTATGCAGAGATGAACACGACGATATTAACATGTGAGAACCCTAACAGGTGAGGACCCTTTGTGACCGTATTTATGCATAGATGAACACTACGGTATTAACCAAGATGAGAAAGACGAACTCAATTGTAATTTAATTAAAATTTATAAAATTACAATTAGATCCCTCAAATCTATCTAATTGTCAAAACACATTTGTTATACCACAAATACCTGAACTGCTCGACCACTCCTCTCAAACCGGGTTGAGCCTCCTTGATCGCCGGTACCTGCAAAACACGCGGGGGTGGTCCCGACGAGGACACTCCGACGCTCAAGTCAGTGATGTATCCGAGAGAAAACGACAGAGTAACAATGTAACGAGTGTATGTGTGTTGTGTAAAATGAAAAAACTTGTGCCCTTTTATAGGTGAAGTTGAAGACTCCTCATGAGACAAGAAGTCTTTTCCGTGTGTATCTCTTAATCAGGTCGAGAAATCCCCAATCTTGAGAGTCCTTGAGGTTGTGAACCTCTTCATGACTTGAGCACACGACTACCTCCGGACTCTGGTCTCCTCGACAGGGCCCTCTGGCCGAGGTGCCTAGCTACCGAGGTGCCCAGCTACCTGGGCGACTACCTCCGCCAAGCTCATCACTCCTAGTACCTCGCCTAGCACACATTGAGCTAGGCTCCGCCTAGCACCCCCTACCCCGGAGGTACCACGAACCCCGCCTAGCTGGCTGAACTAAAACCCGGATCACAACCGATCCTTCATAAACCACTACTGACGACCACATCATCTAGCCCCCCCCCATTTCTTGGACTAGCTGCCACAGCTTGGCCGAAGAAATAAAGAAACTATTCATGTCATGGCGAATAATCGCACCCTTACCAGACGCCAATCGCTTAAGCACACGTGCCGACCATCGCGACGACGACCACTGTGGTGCGACGACGACCTCCGACGCGTGCCGAACACCCCAAGATGCCGACCACCCACAACGCCGACCTCCCACGTGACGACCTCCCGCGCATGACGACCTCCGGTGATGCCAAGCTCCCGCGCCGACAACCGATGAGCTGTGAAATGTCGAGCTCCCGCGATGCCGACCTCCGGTGATGCCCATCTCCTCGCACCAACTCATCGTACGCCGACCCCTGAACTGAGTGCCATTATCAGATATGAGCACTCGGGGGATGCCGTATCGGCAGCAGATGTTATTGAAAAGAAACTTTATCACCCTCTCTTCTGTGATCGTCGCAAATGGCTCGGCCTCAACCCACTTGGAGAAGTAATCAACTGCCACAATTAAGAACTTTCGCTGGCCCGTTGCCTGGGGCAAGAGTCCAACTATGTCAAACCCCCCACTGAGTAAAAGGCAAGGGCGAGCTGATTGGAACCATGCTCTCCGTCGGCCGATGGATCAATGGACCATGCTGCTGACACTTTTTACATTTTTACACAAGATCCTGCGCCATCGTCCTCATCTTAGGCCAAAAATATCCAGCCCGCAGTACCTTCCCAACCAACGCCCTAGCCTTTATGTGGTCGCTGCAGCATCCTTTGTGCACATCCCTAAGCACGTACTCCCCATCTTGTTCGGAGACGCACTTGAGATGAGGCCCCATATATGATCGTTTGTATAGGATCCCATTCTGCAAGTAGAACCTCAACGCTCGTCGCCCAACTGGGTCATCTCTGATATCCTTTCCCGTGACAGGCTCTTACAACCATTGTATTAGAGGCGACCTCCAATCCTTTTGCTTCTCAACCTCCAGCACCTGGTCTAAGGTGCTCCTAGTCATATCCATCAGCGTGACCGAGCGAGATCGGCAGTCAACAAGCGACGCGGCCATTTTCGAAAGTAGGTCGGCCCTACCGTTTTCCCCCCGCGGTATCTGTATCAACTCCCAAGTCACAAATCCCTTTAACATCGCATGGACCTCCACCAGATACTTCTTCATGCGCTCCTCCTTAGCTTCATACTCACCCCTGATTTGTTCAACCACGAGCTGAGAGTTCGAGTGAATGATCACTTGCCGAGCTCCTTCCATCAAGACGAGCTGAATTCCCTTAATGAGAGCTTCATACTCCACCTCATTGTTCGACACTCTGAAAGATAGCTTAACCGCAAACTCCAAGTGATCTTTTTCTGGTGTGACAAGATGTCGAGACCTGCTCCTCCTACTGCCGACGAGCCGTCGACATACACCATCCAAGGCCCAGCCTCGGCTCCCAATGTGCACTCTTGAATGAAGTCAGCTAACGCTTGGGCTTTAATAGCTTTTCGCACCTCAAAGTGGACATTGTATTCGCCTCGCTCAACTGCCCACTTCACCATCCTACCCGAGGCCGAAGGGCGACCTAAGGTGTCTTTGAGCGGGTAGTTAGTTCGAACCATAACTTGTGCGCCAGAAAATAGGGACGCAACTTTCAAGCTGTAGAGACAAGCGCCAGGGCGGCCTTCTCCACGTCTGAATACCGGCGCTCGGCGCCTTGCAATACCCGACTAGCATAGTATATTGGCTTCTGCTGTCCTTGCTCCTCCTTTATCAGCACCGAACTAATGGCTTCGTGTCCCACCAATAGATAAACGACTAATGTGTCGCTTGGCTTCGGTTTTGTAAGTAAAGGGAGCTCAACCAGGAACTCATTCAACCTCTCGAACGCATGTTGTGCTTGCGACGTCCACTCAAAACGTGATCCCTTCTTCAA